GACATCGCTGGCCGTTTTGCGAGTGTGAGCTTCTCTTGCCAGCAGAATGCGGTGGCTGCTTGGTCCAGATCAATTCTCCGTGCTCGGAGTTGACCCATAAGCTCAGTGGTGAAGACGGCTTCGCTGATATGTTTGCTGCATGTGAGATGGATGTCAAAGCCGTGTGCGGCGTAACGTAGCCAGTATGATGACCAATTGTGTCGTAGAAATGCTACCAATGGTGCTGTTGCGATCGGCATGCCTGCCGTGCGGTTGTGCACTGAATGTGGTGTAGATTGAATGTGCTTGGGTAGGTTGAGGCCATAAAGCTGTCTGTTGTCCCAATGCTCTGGTGTTTGAACGAAGTCGTTTGGTATCTGGGGATTTGCAGGCGTAAGATTGGTGTGTTGTTGTTGTTGGGGTGTGACGGTGGCCTGAGGCAATGTATGTGAAGAAATGCTGGGGTTTTGAGTAGCCATCGGGGATGGACTAACAAATGTGTGTTGGGGAGTGGCAGGCGTGGGGGTTGGCAGTGCGGTGGGTGAAGCTGGGACGGTAAACTGCTGGGGTGGGGGAGGGGGTGGAGGGAAAGGGGGGAAAGTGGTGTTGTGGCTGTAAGGGTGAGCTGAACCCCAGGTGGTTGGGGTCTGGGGTGAGGTGTGGGGTGGGATGTTGTGGATCCCTGGTGGTGGGGAAATCGGGTGCATTGGGGTGCTGCTGGTTGAAGCTGTTTGTCGTTGCACCGCACTGATTGCTGTGCCGATGATGCCTGTTGGCATTGTTGTGTGCCACTGAGGCTGTGTCGGCTTGTACATGGTTGCACAATGGGGCACTACAATTGCCTGTGACTGCAAAAGCTGCAAATAGCACGCGCATGGACAACATAGTTGGCCTGGGTGTCAGCATCTACTTGTGGAATGCATCCAGCATGCAGCTGCATCGTCTCTTCTTTGGCTCAAAAGCGGGGTCGGAGCAAATGCTTGATTGCATACAGCTATGTGCAACGGGATTCAGGCCTGGAAGAGAAATGATACTCGAGAGTGAAAGGTAGACTCGGAAGAAGGAAGAAAGTAATACAGAACATCACTGAATAAGGCCGAATCCAACAATGCTGAAATGCCCCGAGTGGAATCCCCACTTCTCTGGGGTCCGCACAACACCCTTTCGCCCCACGATAAAGGCCTCTCTATACATGTCCCGATACGTCATCTTGTAATGCTGATACTTAGTCCGTATTGTCCCGATGACGATCACTCCCTGTTGGCCTTTCGGCCGCCGTGTACATTGATCGGTTACTATATGGACCGTGCTTTCCGATACATCTCCTGGGGTCGCATTCCCGTAAATGACGCAAGAGGGAATGGGTGGGTAGGACTTGTCGTCGAAGCAGTGTCTGACTGAACTTGGGCGGACCAAGTCCTCGCGCATAATGCGCGCGGCACTTGCAATGCTCGTGCCGTGTCCGGCGGTGTAGATGTATGACTCTCCTGGTGGGTCAGTGGCACGGGTGCCGAACGCTCTACGCTGCTCTCCAGCCCAAGGAATGAATAACATAGTATGCACGCCGTCCGATATTGGCGTCAGCACTGCCCCAAGTTCGTTGCACGCTGATCGCGTGCCTGATTGTAGCACTGCATGTGCAAATTCGGCCAAAGTCTCCTGCCTGAAATCGCTGTCAGCAGCTATCTCGCCCAAAGTTTTGGTGAGTTTGTGAGCTTCTTCCATGTCGACGGCGTGAGGAGTCGGCTTCTCATGTTCGTAAAGCTCAGAAAATGGCACCACATCAATCTGTGGTGGTCTGCTGTGTTTGCCCAATTGTTCGAGGGTTGGCTGACCCGATGGGGCAGCGGTTGTTGATGCATCGTAGGTCGGGGCAGGTGCCCGAACGGAGCTGGAGGGATTGTGCTGAGCCTGTTGGCGGGAGGAGGTGCCCTGTCCGGCTGGGGGCTGCTGTTGTGCTGCTTGGCTGCCCTTGATGCGGAGGGCGATTCGCTGAACCTGCGCGGCCAATGTCCTTTGTGGGACCTTGGGTGGGGTGGGTGGCCTCTGGCGTAGCTGTGTGGCTCTGTAATGCCACTTGTTGGTATCAACGTCACGCACTGTAGAATAGCTGCGGAGCACAACCGAGTTCCGCGGAGGTGTCGACGAAGATCGCCTGGTGTCCCTGCGAGAACGACTTCTGCGGGTGTCGCGGGATCGGTGGTGTCTGTGTCGGCGGTGCTGTCTCCCGCTGCTGGCAGGTCGTGCTCTGCTGCGTGTGCGTCGTCGGCGTCTAGTGCTCAAGGTGCGGGTTCTGCTGCGTGTGGGTGAGCGCCGTCGCCTGCGTGGCAACGGAGGATGGTGGGAAGAAGCACGTGCTGCGAGCGGGTCAGTGTCTCCCGATCCCGTAGCGGGTGGTGATTGTGTGGGTGGCAATGTGCTGACAGAGGGGGTGTTGGCTGTGCTTATTGGCTGGGGTTGGGGGGTGATTGCCGGTGTCTGCGGGGCAATGTGTGCAGCATCGGTAGTGGTAACATTGGTGGGGTGAGATGGTGAAGCTTGTTGGAGGGTCGTTGGCGGCGGTATATGGGATTGTTGAGCGGGTTGTGTGGAAGGGATGCTGCAAGGTGCAGGTTGGGGTTGTGGAGCAGGTGGTGTGAAAGGAATGTTGTATGTGGCAGGCTGGGAGTGATGCGGTGTCAGAGGTGATGGGCTCGTGGGAAAAACTGTTGGATGGGTAGGCAAAGGAACAGGGTTCAAGAAAGTGGGGGAATGTTGCGACATGAATTGCTGGGGTGGAGGTTGTTGTGGCAGCTGGGGCTGTGGTGTGCTGAGTTGTGTGTATACCATCGGATGCTGTGGTACAGGAGCATTGTGTCCACATGGCATCATGGGGAAGCTGTGCGTCTGCTCAACAGGGATCGTAGTGGGTTGCGTCGGCAGTGTGTGCTGCTGAGTGGCAGCAATGCCAGTTGGCATCATTGCTGGGTATCCTTGTGACTGCGGTACCCAGGTGTTCGGGTGAAAATGATTGAGCACCGGTCGGGTTGTTGGTGCGTACGGTGTTGCTGGTGGCTGCGTGGTAAAATAATCCGGCCACATAGCTGCAACGAAGTTGGTGAAACAAACACAGTTGCACAAGCAAAGTGCAGGCTGTCCTGGTTGTCTTGAGAGGTCGAAGACGGAGAGAAAGAAGAGGGCCGATTACTTCCCGGAGGAAGCGCTGCTTCACTTGCATTAGACAAATGTTACCGCACCTGCCCTCATGTCAGTTGCACATGCCCTTGCGGTCCCTGAGAAAAATAAAGAAGCGATCGAATAGAGGACAGAATAGCGAGGTAATCCTGTGCACTAGCGGCCGGTTACTGCACTAGACGGCGGTTACTGCACCTGCACTCATGTCAGACGCACATGCGAGCATCAGAGAGAGAGAGATAAAGTAGCATCGGGAGAATCTGAACGATCTGAACGAAGGCTGAACACCCGGTTCATCACCGGTCTCCCCGGAGGGTCACCACGGCGCCATGACGGAAAGCCGTTGCTCTGGAGTCTCAACGACCCACGCTGATCACACTGATGGATTCGGCCAAGAGTACGAGTGCAAGAGGAAAAAGAGAGGCATGTTGTTGCAAAAGTTTGTCAGATTGCGGCAAACGTGCAAAGCTTTATGCTCAAGCAAAAGGTGGAAACCGTAAATGCACTAATCTTGCTGCCTCAGGGGGCCAGCGTTTTCTAATCTGGCTGCCTCAGGGGGCCCAGCTTGCAGGTACACAGTTCAGCGTCCTGAACTGCTTCCCACTCCATGGCATAGCTTCGTTGCATTGGGTCTGCCAAGGAGTGCCCAATGCCCCTGCAACAGTTGATTTGGTAAATGTCCAATGTCTGATTATGTTGAAAAGCAAAAATTGCAAACAGTGTAGGAGTGACCCTCTGCTCCCATGTGCTAGGGAGGTTCACACACACACACACACACCTGCTTAGATTCCTAGATAACCGGTGAAAAGACACAACAGATCCTGCCCTCTGGCCTCCGCCTCCTTCTTCTTCGCCTCCTCCTCTGCCTTGCGCTTGGCAGCTTCTTCGGCGCGGGCCTTTTCAGCCTCCTCCCGCTTCTTCGCCTCCTCCAGCTTCTTGGCCTCTGCCTCTTGCTTCTTCTTTTCCTCCTCTGCCTTGCGCTTGGCGGCTTCCTCTGCGCGAGCCTTCTCGGCTTCCTCCTTCTTCTTGGCCTCCTCCAGCTTCCTGGCCTCAGCCTCTTGCTTCTTCTGCTCCTGCTCTGCCTGTCTCTTGGCCTGCGCAGTGCGCACAGAAGCACTCCGTGCCGAGGCAGCTTGCGGCGACGGGATCCAAAAGGAATAAATACGCAAGTCTCACGAGTCTCAATGATGCCCTCCCCAGTCCAACTCTCACAGTGTTACTGCGTCTCCACTAGTTCCTCGACCCGAAGTTGTGTGGGCAAATGATCTCAGCATTTCATTCCAGTGACCACCGCTCCCTGCAACAACGAGAGCTTGCGGCATCCCCGAACGACCCAGGGCTCATCGTCAACAAGGCCTGCTACTTTGAAGTCTCTGCGACGTTTCTGCTCCGTGGGCAACAGCCAGGCCAAGCTTCCACCAGCAGACCCTACAAGGACCCTAAAACAGCGGGCACGGCAGGGCTAAACCCTTCAGCATGCCGACCGAAAGCTACGAGTGTCTGTGCGTCGTTGGGCCGTTGGTTTCAAGTCGGTCCAGAGCTTTTTGGCGGGTTTCTGCCCAACTGGCGCTGCGCGCTCTGACGAGCGGGCGACAGCACCACAAGTCCAGGCTTCTGCAACGAGCGACTTGCTTGCCCTGCTGGCTGTGGCGTCACCCATTGGCCGGGACGTTCACGTTCGAGCTCAACAGAACCGGATGCCATGCAAACGCGTACGAACTGTTGCACAAACGAGCTGCCTGCCACGGTGGGTTTCCTCTATGGTGCTTCACATGTGGATTCAGAATTGGTGAAGCGGCCGAACCGGCTGCGACATCATGGGCCAGACATGCACCTGACACACCTGCCTAGATTCCTAGATAACCGATGAAAAAACACAACAGATCCTGCCCTCTGGCCTCCGCCTCTTTCTTCTTCGCCTCCTCCTCTGCCTTACGCTTGGCAGCTTCTTCGGCGCGGGCCTTTTCAGCCTCCTCCCGCTTCTTCGCCTCCTCCAGCTTCTTGGCCTCTGCCTCTTGCTTCTTCTTTTCCTCCTCTGCCTTGCGCTTGGCGGCTTCCTCTGTGCGAGCCTTCTCGGCTTCCTCCTTCTTCTTGGCCTCCTCCAGCTTCCTGGCCTCAGCCTCCTGCTTCTTCTTCTCCTGTTCTGCCAATCTCTTGGCCTGCGCAGCGCGCACAGAAGCACTCCGTGCCGAGGCAGCTTGCGGCGACGGGATCCAAAAAGGAATAAATACGCAAGTCTTACAAGGATCATCTGCTAGCTGCCAGCATCAATTTGAGGGCTATGATGATGCAAAGTAAGCAGACTTGAGTCGCTGATCCAACGTGGGCTTGCTTCGAACTATCCTTCGCGACTGTAAACAATTGTTGATCTTGCTTCCTACCGGTCTGATCAGTAGATGTTCGTCGAACGCTTAGTCTTGTCGTTCAGTTGCAACTCTGAACAACTGCTGCAAGCAAACTCCCTGCCACAACAAGTTTCCACTATCGTGACTCACATGAGGATCAGAATTGGTGAAGCGGCCGAACCGGCTGCAACATCATGGCCCAGACATGCACCTGACACACCTGCCTAGATTCCTAGATAACCGATGAAAAAACACAACAGATCCTGCCCTCTGGCCTCCGCCTCTTTCTTCTTCTCTTCCTCCTCTGCCTTGCGCTTGGCAGCTTCTTCGGCACGGGCCTTTTCAGCCTCCTCCCGCTTCTTCGCCTCCTCCAGCTTCTTGGCCTCTGCCTCTTGCTTCTTCTTCTCCTCCTCTGCCTTGCGCTTGGCGGCTTCCTCTGCGCGAGCCTTCTCGGCTTCCTCCTTCTTCTTGGCCTCCTCCAGCTTCCTGGCCTCAGCCTCCTGTTTCTTCTTCTCCTGTTCTGCCTGTCTCTTGGCCTGCGCAGCGCGCACAGAAGCACACAAAGACTCTATTCCGCGAAGCTGCGGCAGCTTGCGGCAGCAGGATGAAACATACGCAAGTCTCACGAGGCTCAAATGCTGGCGTTCATTCATAGGCTGAAGGCTTTGATTATGCAGAAGCTATGCACGTTCCTGAAGATCTGTCTTGGCAAACACAGCTTCAACACTCAGACACGGAAGAGCAGCTTGCAGCCGTTCAGAATGAAGGAGTCAAAAAAAAAACGATACTTCGAACAGGATCGAGCTCAGGCTTCATGCTGGTTGACAAGAGACCTAGTGGCACCACCCCCCCTGCCCTTACTCCGTCGTTCTCAAGTGCAAGATCCGAGAACCAAGTAAGCCGACTTGACTCGCTCATCCAATGTGGGCTTGCTTTGAACATCCTTCCTGACATTTTACACCAGTCGTTGATCTCTGATCGGCAGCTGTTCGTCGAACATTTAGTCTTGTCTTTTGGTGCGCCCCCGTCCAATGATCTCTCCTTCCTGCTGGCTAGGCTGCCCCAACGGCGCTGCTTACCGGAAGACTTTCCGATTGGGGATGCAATTCTGAAGAACTGCTGCAAACAAACTCCCTGCCACAACAAGTTTCCACTATCGTGACTCACATGTGGATCAGAATTGGTGAAGCGGCCGAACCGGCTGCAACATCATGGCCCAGACATGCACCTGACACACCTGCCTAGATTCCTAGATATCCGATTAAAAAAAGACAACAGATCCTGCCCTCTGGCCTCCGCCTCTTTCTTCTTCTCTTCCTCCTCTGCCTTGCGCTTGGCAGCTTCTTCGGCGCGGGCCTTTTCAGCCTCCTCCCGCTTCTTCGCCTCCTCCAGCTTCTTGGCCTCTGCCTCTTGCTTCTTCTTCTCCTCCTCTGCCTTGCGCTTGGCGGCTTCCTCTGCGCGAGCCTTCTCGGCTTCCTCCTTCTTCTTGGCCTCCTCCAGCTTCCTGGCCTCAGCCTCCTGTTTCTTCTTCTCCTGTTCTGCCTGTCTCTTGGCCTGCGCAGCGCGCACAGAAGCACACAAAGACTCTATTCCGCGAAGCTGCGGCAGCTTGCGGCAGCAGGATGAAACATACGCAAGTCTCACGAGGCTCAAATGCTGGCGTTCATTCATAGGCTGAAGGCTTTGATTATGCAGAAGCTATGCACGCTCCTGAAGATCTGTCTTGGCAAACACAGCTTCAACACTCAGACACGGAAGAGCAGCTTGCAGCCGTTCAGAATGAAGGAGTCAAAAAAAAAACGATACTTCGAACAGGATCGAGCTCAGGCTTCATGCTGGTTGACAAGAGACCTAGTGGCACCACCCCCCCTGCCCTTACTCCGTCGTTCTCAAGTGCAAGATCCGAGAACCAAGTAAGCCGACTTGACTCGCTCATCCAATGTGGGCTTGCTTTGAACATCCTTCCTGACATTTTACACCAGTCGTTGATCTCTGATCGGCAGCTGTTCGTCGAACATTTAGTCTTGTCTTTTGGTGCGCCCCCGTCCAATGATCTCTCCTTCCTGCTGGCTAGGCTGCCCCAACGGCGCTGCTTACCGGAAGACTTTCCGATTGGGGATGCAATTCTGAAGAACTGCTGCAAACAAACTCCCTGCCACAACAAGTTTCCACTATCGTGACTCACATGTGGATCAGAATTGGTGAAGCGGCCGAACCGGCTGCAACATCATGGCCCAGACATGCACGTGACACACCTGCCTAGATTCCTAGATAACCGATGAAAAAACACAACAGATCCTGCCCTCTGGCCTCCGCCTCTTTCTTCTTCTCTTCCTCCTCTGCCTTGCGCTTGGCGGCTTCCTCTGCGCGAGCCTTCTCGGCTTCCTCCTTCTTCTTGGCAGCTTCCTCGGCCTGCGCTTTTCGCTTGGCCTTCCAGACTCAGACAGGGCTGAAACCGAAGCCACTCGCAAGAAGAAGCACGGAGCACGGAAGCATGACAAAAGCACGGGACCATGAGCCCAAGCGTGGCTCTAACTGCTGGCATCCAGGAGGGCCATCTCGCCTCCGCCTCCTCCCGAGCCTTCTGGGCCTCAGCCTGCCTCTTTTCGGCGATTTCCTGCCAAGAATCTGAGATCTTTCGATCTTTCCCGAAAAAGAAACCAAGGCTACGAAGAGCACAAACTTAGTACTTGTAGCCGGTCCTTTCTTCGCTGCTCCTCCTCCTCGCGCTTGGCCTTGGCCTCAGCCTTTCTTCTTTCCTGTTCCTCCTTTCTCTTCTGGGCCGGGTCCTCACGGACGTCACGCGGCACAGCAAGCAACAGCTTCGGGACAGATCTTGCCCTTCCCGTCCTGCACCTCTACGGCTTCTACTTCTTCAGCCTCGACAACAGCATCGTCTTCCAAACAAGAACTTTTCAGCAAAAGCTGCACTGCCACGCTTGGCCCTCGCTGCGGCTGCACAAAGACATGCAGGAAGCACCCTCACGGACGAAGGCGCGACCTCGGATAGGAAAGCGTCAAGCTGCCAGCTGCAATCGGCTATGCTATACCTGGACCCTCAAACAAAAGAAGCTAAAGAGAGCTGTGGCAGGAACGGGTCCGAGCAACGCCACGAGGACGAAGGCAAGCCCTCCCAGCACCTGCGAGTGGGATGGCGCCTCTCTGAGAAGCCGCCGGAAAAGCCTTTTCTCCAGCGGGCTCGGGCTCTTCCAGGCTAGGATCCGGATCAGGAGGCAGCTCATGTCGGCATCGACGGCAACCAGGCTCGTCAATTCTGCCCTTGCAGCAGATGTAGCGCCTGACATAAGACCTGAGCCACAAGTAGCACTTGAGCTGAGAGAAGCTTAGGTAGACCTGAGCCATCGACTTGAAGACCTGGCGTCCACAGATCCTCCGAGGCACTTTCGGGCTTTCGGGCCATGGGCCGCTGGTTGCCAAACTGGGAATGCGTGGCGGACCAAATGCTGCCAGCATGCTCGGTGCCGCAATTTTTGCAGCACCCCTTTTCAGATCTTTCGGGCCAAGGGCAACAAGCGCGATCTTCGCGTGAGATTTCAACGTCCTCGACAGAGCTCGTCCCATCTTTGCAAGTGAATATGCGTTCTGGAACACGCTTGGCACCTCTAGCCAAGGAAAACGATGGTGTCGACACGATGTGTCAGAGTTGCCTGTGCTCCATGCAGGTTTCAATTCGAGCACCATGAAAATTCAACAACCCATCCATGCCGCCGTGGTGCGGGCAGTGTCGAAGTACACTCCGCATCGCTGGCAACATGGTGGCCATGACAAGAGCATGAAGTCGAATTCGGCCTCTGTTGTGGCAGATTCATTCATGAGCAATTTGGCATTTTGTCATGTTGCTCTGTGCTTGACCACGCCTTCAGTGCACCCGGCATGTCCTTCTGGATCTCACCTTCCACGCAGCGACGGGGCAGGGGGAAAATTCAGGCTCTGTCGTGCCAGGCAACCTGTGCGCGCAAAACGCAGCACCCAGTCGAAGAGGTCTGGGTCCCTGTCCAAGAAGAGGACTCCGTCCTCGACGGCTTGCAGGGCTTCCGTTCTGCGTGGCTGCGTGGCGGCTGACACTTGCCTCATCACGGTCAACCGGGATCTCGCCGTCTAACCTTGACAGGAGATCGAGAGAACTCTGCCACGCAGTCCTCTCCCCCCGCAGCATGCATGCAGTTGCCGTGACGACATTACGGTCGAAGGTTCACCAGAGGGTCTTAAGGGATTCTTCGCCGGTCTTGGAAGTTACGTGGCAAGAGTTCCACAGAAATCAACTCTGATGCCAAGGAGCAGTCGGGCACAGAAATCTCCACAGGCCCGCAGCGTGCTTTCGGATGTGCGAAACATTCGCCCACCGACATTCAACTTGACCATCGGCATGATCAGACATGGACCAACAAGCTCTTGGTTTCCTCCGCGGGGGCTATGGCTTCCAACTCATGCTTGCCTGCCTCAATTGCCAGGCCGCGTCTGCAATCATTTCAGCTACCTGCTTCAAGGGACTTCGTCGCAGCTCGAGCCACCACGAAGGGAATTTGGCAGTTGTGGTCCCAGTTAACAAGCCCTGCACTGCTGAACCTGAGGGTCCTTTTTGCAGCAGGCTGGCTTTCGCCCCCAGCTACGGCAGGAGACAGCGATGACAGGTTGCAAACAAATGCGCCCCAAGCTTGTGGGGAAGAAGTTAGCAAAAGACGTTCGACCCTCGAGTCTTGCCGCACCTGCCTGGGGGCGACGAGTCAGGCATCCGGGTGAGCCGACGGCCTCACTGGCAATACGCTTCCGCTGCCTTGGTCGTGTCCGCAACCGCCTGATCCAGGCCGGAAAAGGAACAGGAAAGACTCAGACCATAGCCGCCTAGAGCCGCTAGCCCCAGCCCCAGCCACTGCTCACCTGGAACACGAAGTCGGGTGACTCCTGGCATGGGGCGGCAAGCCGAGTGCTGTCTACTCGACGCGGACGCCGCGCACGGTTCGAAGCTCGCGTCTTGCGATTGCTGTCGGATAAGTCTTCAGAGCTCAGAACCTTTGGTCCGACACGGGGTTCAGGAGAAGAAAAGCACCCTGAAAATGCAGAACACCACTGAACGTGAAAGCACCGAAATATTGGGATATTGTGGGCCCTGCCCTTGGTCCCTGTGCCTTTGCCAAAGACGAGAGGATGAGAGCGGCACTGACCTGGCGTCAACACACTACTCAAGGAAGGAGCGCAAGTGTCGCTTTCGGGCACTGATCTACGGGTACCGGTTTCGTGCCATGTAGGCACTCGTCAGCCATACAACTGCGGTAAGCAGGTGTTGATCAGTGTTAGCCTGGACATTGTGCTGCGTGCCGGGGTGAGGGCTGGGTGGGCTTTTTATGTGCATGCACATAATAAGTAGCAGCTCATCGGAGCGGGGGCTCGGCCGGCCCGGCCCGAAGCGACAAAATCTTGGCGCCGGACGGAGGCCCCGGCCCCGAGGTGGCTGCCCTCCGGCGCGACCATCTCGGGACCCAGCTTCTCCAAAACAGCATCGGCCTGCACTCGAAGCGGACGCAGAAAGCCAAGCCAACCCGGAACGCCGTCCACAGGACCTGTGCACGCATCACCCGGGAAATCCGTCGTGCACGCTCAGAGAAGAGGGGCTCGCTCAGCAGCCTGCAGCAAAAGGAACGGTGCATTTCCCATGAAACTGAGTCGCTGAGCGGCTCTGCGACGGACTGCGGCAAGCTCTTTTTTGCATGCTACTCGGGCGGCTCACCACCCAGGAAGCTTTGAAGCAAAGGCAAGCGATTCCTTCCTCCATCCTTGCAGAAGCTGCTCGGTAGAAGCAGGTCACTATGTAGTCGCCACACGTTTCAGTCCTCATCCCACTCTTCTAAGCTAACTTCTTTCACCTGAGCCGGGGTATATTGTCCACACATTGGCAACACGGTGAAAGCCTCGGCCTCCACATCCGGCAGGACTGTCGCCCAAAGCTGCCGGCGGAGCACGCGGGTCACTGGCGAATGGTGGTCCTTGCAAACAGCGACCAAAGAATGCCTCGGGTTACTCGTTCTCGTGCATGTCAAGGGGCGAGGTCCAGTGCCTTCCCCCGCTTGCCCCAGTGAAGGGCAAGGCCTCTGCACTTGCACGTCTACCGGTATCTCTCGTATTGGGACTCTCCAAGCGAGGCGTGTGTCCACTTGAACTGACAGTATCTCTTAGCCGTTGCTCGAAGCAGCATCTATCCATACGACGAGAAAAAGTGGAGGCGTTGCTTGCTTGGTTGGACTTGAGGCGGTCATCCTCAAGCTCAACACAGCCTGATTTGGAGCCTCCACTATCTATCGCATATCTTCAGCCAAGATGCAGAAAGGTCCTGCGACAAAAGCGATCCTCGTGCGAGAGGTGGCTTCACAGAGAGCGACTGTTGCGAAAACCCAAAAGGTGCCAAGCTCGTCAGTGTCGGAACTAGCTGACGCTTCTGCGCAAGCACAGTTTGAGGAGGAAGAGAAGTTGGGGGAAATGATCCAGATGTCTGCTCGAGAGGCATCAAAGAGGCATGGCTAGAAACTGCGTTTTGTTTCGCTGGGAGCGATTGAGAAAAAGGATGGGGCAAAGCGTGTCACACATGATGCCACGCATGGAGTTGGTGTTAGCTCTGCAATCCAGCTCCAGGATCAAGTTCGGTACCCGACGGCAGGGGACTTGCGCACCGCGCTGATGACACTGCCGAGAGCTTTCTTTGGGCTGACAGGCGATGTTCAGCGCGCACACCGCTTAGTGAAAGTGGCTGCATCTGATTGGGGGTACACAGCCTGCCGGACCGGAGTGCAAGGCGAAGATATGCTTTGGTTGAACACCGTAGGGACATGCGGCGTGAGTAGCAGCGGGCTCGGGGCACCTTAAGTGCAGTGCCGGCTTTGATCTATTGGAGATTGTCAAAGAAGTGTTGCGGATTCCCGAAATTCGGGGGTTATGAAGTACCCTAATCGCTAAGCAAGTCGGCAGGCACTGCATTTTCAACTGTTGTGACTTCTTGAAAGCGCATCTCTTGGCATGAAGAGCTTAGGCTTCAAAGTCAGCAAGTGACTTTCTTCGCCTTCTTTTTTGTTTCCGGGACCAGCCCGCAAGCCACCTCAAGAGACACTAAGTTGAGTACGTGACTGTCTTTGCACCGGAAGGCCTCACCCGCCCCTCGGTTCACCCCGAGAAAGAATTGATCAAGTCCAGTACTGTTCGTCTTGGCCACCTGTTGTTTCGGCGGAAAGATTTAAGGCATTGCCCCGGAATCTCGGACTGCTCCAAAGCGTTTTTTTTGGCCACCACTCTCAAGCTATTCTGTTGGTCAGACAAGTAGCTCGGGTGCATCCTCGCCAGAAGCACCGAGTTCCTGATGCTGCGAAATCTGGCATGCTCAGCACACACGCACTCTTCGCTCTCGTCTCCGTCGAAGCAGTATGGCAGCACATCACGCTGCAATGTCCTGGATCAGACCGGCGAGCTCGTTGCCCCGTTCTGATGTCCAGATACTTTTCTCTGCCTCACGGCAGAGGATGCAGAGTGACATTTTGTCATTCAAGCCCTGCTGGACGCCCCTCCCTGACCTCGAGGCTTCTGGACAAGGGGTCCTCCCACAGGGAGAAAGGGCTTCCCACAGCTTCGCCCTCTTCCTTCAGGCACCGAGGCGAATCCAAGGCTGCAAGTAGTCTGCAAATGCAGCGGCAGTCCTCCGAGTGAGATGCCGTGGCCTGCAGCTCGCGCAGCAGCCACCAGCTTTCCGGAGAAAAGCCTAGCGACTGAGAGTCTCTGAGGTGAGTCTCCCTTCAAATCCCTCAAGGCCGAGAAGCCACTGAAATCAGCTTCCTGCAGCTGCTTCAGAAGAGACTCTGCCAGCTCCTTTGCACCAAGAGAGAAAACCACTACAGGGCCCCAGTGAAGGAGCACTGGTCATCCCTAACATCCTGATGTTCAGCGACTTTGCCAAGCGCATGCAGTGCCCAGAGAGCCCGCACTTTGGCAGCACTCGGGTCGTCGGGGCCTCGCAACCGCAGGGAAACGACTGCAACGAGCAGGAATGGAAGGGCAAACAAGAGAAAACAACGGCCCATTACTGAAGGGCACCAAGGACCTGGCCAAGACGTTTGACCGCGCCAAACAAAGCGGTCGGGGC